TTGAAAACAACAGAAAGGTTTCATTAAACAGTTCTTCAGGACAAAATCAACTGATTTTATAGTGCACGGGGGAGAGCCAGCAGGGATGTGGATGCCGTGGAGTATAGTTGATGCTACTGTTTTGTGCTGGTTTCCAGAAGCTTGTAAGGCAGCCTGGAAACATATATATAATGATTAGATACTACTTAAAAAGTGAAGTTTCTTTATGGCAAAGCTTAGTAGTGAAAAATGCTTGTGTGCTAGCAAGTTGTATCAATCATTTCAAAATGAGATAAAGTCTGATTTAAAGCTAGTGCTCTGGATTAATCAGCTACTCCCCAATTGCATTCATTGACCCTGCTCATTCAGGGACTGTAATTAAGAAAAACAGCAGTGACTTTAAATTTGGCACCTGAATCACAAGGTTAGAGCAGTAAATTTCTAAGTCTGATTGGTGCCAGGTTAGGAGGAGGCATCTCTTTTCTCACTGATGAACAGGAGCGCTCAGCTCCCGGCAGAGAAGCAATGAGTGAGGGAGAAAAAGGCAGGCAGAGGTTTAAGGAGGATTTTCAGAGTTATTAAGACACTGAAGACCAATAACCCTGTCCTTGCAGACTTACAGATACAAAGTATTTAAATAAACAGTGCTTCAGATTACATGCCTTTCATGCTTACCTTACTGTGACAGAAAAATAAAAAGCTGCTAGTTTCTATGTAAGCAATGCAGAAGTGGCCAAGGTTTAAAATTAAAATAAGAAGTCTCATGGTTATTTTGAAAACCGCTTATTGCTGTCACAAATTAGAATTTGGGGCCTAATTCTATCAAAGTACCCATGCTTGGCCACAGCTGCCTCTCACTGTTGGTGTGAAATAGATGTCCAGCTGCAAGGCAGGGGACCTTGTGCCACTATAAAGATATATGGGGTTTGATTATTCAATAAGATCTTTGAACAAATAATGCCATTTCAGATAAAAATGTTATCATCCTGCGTTCAGAGGTGAGTAGCACATACAACTCAGCCTGTGTTGCAGACCCTCTGTTTTATTTTACTAAAGGTCAGAAAGGTTCTTTGGTAACTATGGACCGTTAAATGTAATCCCCATCACTCAGATACGAAGCTCAAAGAATTATAATTGCGATAAACTATTTTAGCCCTTAGGTTTTTAGATTGTATGCCACAGGCAAGGGAAAAGAGTGACCCAGCTGCCTTCTGTGCTCAAAACCGTCTTGTTAATGCTGGCTGAAGGATTTCTGAGATCAAGTGTCCTGGTTAGTAACCAATAGATTAGTAACTACGAATTTTGTGTAGATTTGTGTTACTCTCTTCTCCATATACCACACATTTGTTTTATGCAGAAGTTCCATTCTGTAGGCTATTTGAGGTGATGTTTACACCCAATGCCTATACAGCTCCAGATAGATAAAGTTTTGAAGTGTATCTGAAGAAATAACTGGGTGGTCTAACTAGTGTTAGGCAGTATGTAAATTGTAGCTTTAATATTTCTGCCTTGTTTTGAGAGGGTTGTGACATGTCAAGTGTATCAGGTGTATGAATGATGGATTTAAAAACACGCCTTCTGAAAGAATATAAACCAGCTGGCAAATAAAATTGCCTGTTGGTTTGGGCCACGCACTGTCACGCAGGGAGCGATTTGCGTTACTCATGTTCCCAGTGCTGCCTTTAGTCAGGTTGATGCTTCATTTTCCAACCCCTATTTCTGCAACTGAGGTGGAAGACAAGATGTAATACTTTAGTATGTTGAATTAAGAACAAGAAACTTTCTAGCAGATTTCCATGTACTTTCCTGGGATAATATTCCATTCACTGTCAGTGTTTACTGTGTATCTCCTTTCTCTGCAATATAATTCTTGGTTTCATCTATTCATCTGGATGCCAGCTAGAAATTAAAATAAAAAGACTGCACTCTAAATGGATTCCTGAATGCTGTTATAAAGCGTGGCAGGTTTAACAAGCAAGCTCAATAAAAGTAGTTCCCACTTTGCTTCAGTAAATAGAAAGGTTGTTTGTGTCCTTGGTTAGATTGCACTTGTCCTAGCTTTATTTCTTGCTTAGTCTGTTGTACTATAAGTGAGAGTGCAGCTTTTAGCATTTATATTTTTAGTGTTCCTTAAAATCAAAATGCTTAAATCAACATCTTTTTTCTATTAGAGAGATGCATATGATACAATCCACGAAAAATGCTTCCAACATGTGCCATTTTTAATTGCTTTACCAATTATGATTTCCCCAGTCTAGCTAATAAATTTCTGCCTAACTGTGCACTTACTCAGAATATGGGCAAGACGTAGACACCATTCAGATGTGAAGACCTATTACAAGATTGAAATAGATTTCTAATGCATTTATCATTCATCTTTGCAGAGTGTGATTTCAATCAGAAAAAAAAATGATGAATGGTCTGACAGTTTCCACCCATATACGCTAAAACATAATATGCTGCTTCTAGTTTCCAGCTATTACAGACTTTAACATGCAATGTGACCTTGGTCTGCAAAGCATGTTTGGTTAGCACAAAAACTTAATCATAAGAAGTCATAAGTAGAATCCTTCTTCTTTACTGCCCTTTTTCTGGGACTTGGAAATTTATTGCTTCTGGGACAGGTAGGATATGAACAATGGGCCAAATAGAGTCCAGGGTTATCTCATCTGTGTGAAAACTGCTGCTGAAAATCGATGTGACCTCTGCTACACTGTCATCCCAATTCCCACCCTCTGTGTCCTATTTGTCTTTTGGTAGAAGCTTAGATCTGTGTGCTGTCTCTATGTGTCTCTCTTGGGCCAGATTATCAAAATGAATCATTGCCTGCATACCTCTTATATTTCTATTTATTTTCCTGGTGTTGACTAGGTCTGATGAAATATGATTCTTTTTGCATTTGATCCTCACTGCAGCAAGCAGCACCTAATTTAGCTGTGTCTATCTCTTTAAAGAAGAGTAATACTATTTTGAAACTTCAATCTGCTGTACAGTAACATTACAAACCATAGACCATGCAACCTGTCTTCACAGTCAATAGTAATTTTCCTTTCGGCCAATTTAATGTTATTACTTTCATCTCCAAATAGTAGAGATTTCTAGAGATTTTAAAGCAGCTATGGTTTTGTTATGCATACTTCATGGATTACTTTATTTTTCAAATGCCACTTCTGGTTAGTCTTTTGTGACTCGCTGGCTTAGATATTATTTCTGTGCAGCATCGTGCGCAAGAGCCGATTCAAATGAACCGCAAGGTTCATTTTTAAAACTCTGCCACGGATACAAGACATTTAAATAGGAGAAACGGTGCATCTGATGGCACAAACTCTGTGTCCCAAGTATGCTAACAGAGTTGTTTTTCTCAGATGGATCATTTAAATTACATGAACAGAGCTCTACAGTGGTAGCTACCAAGATGCACAGAAGTTACTGGCTTCTGCTGTTGCTAGTCCTGGAGAATCGTTATGAACATGTTCCATTTAATGAACTTACACAGTGAAAACGAAGCACTGCCTAGACAGAGATTTGAAGATTGCTAATGCTTCTGGTTCGTTGTCAGTAGGTGTCTTTTAGAAACAGCAGAACGTGCTTGCTGCTCAATAGATGCTCCTGAGTTTGTTAAACGAGATAATACTGTGTGTAGAGACACCCTGGTTTATTCGTCGTCGTCAGGTTCTTTGGGGTTTTGTTTTGGTTTTTTTGTCTTACTGAGAAGTGGGAGAAGGAGGCCTTTTGAATACGGAGTAGATCCTGGCTTTAACATGACCAATACCCCTGACAGATGAAACCATCAGGACGGGCTCTGCAGTTGCCCGTAGAAAACACGTGCCTCTTGAACTCCTGGCCACTACGTTACGGAGCAGCAGTTGCTCAGAAGATACTCCTCATTATTTCTGCAAGCGCAGGAATATAATACATACAGACGCGGTTTCCCTGGAATATTACACAGAGGGGTTTTTTTAACATTTCAGATTAAAAGAGATGTACAGCATTGGGCTTTAAAAACTGCTAGTGGATATTAGTTTCATGGGTTTCAGCAGTCGGCTCGATGTTTAAAACGAGTACACGGGGAAGAAGTACTCACAGGGATCTGAGAGAAGGAGATATTTGCTATCCCATTCAAAACTATGAGTTCATTGGTAGCAGCACTGCTTCAGCTCAACTTAAAGGATTTCTGAAAAATAATCACTGATGTTGTTTCTTTGCGGATACACACGTCTGCTGCCTGTGCACAGCTTGATCTGCACCAACGTGATCGACTTGAAACGGCGAGTGTAGGGGACGCCACCAGGTCCCGATTCTGCCGTTTGTAGGAGCCGCATCGATCTGGTTCCATGCAGTAAATCGCAGGAGCAAGGCCCAGTGCCGGAGCACCTTCCCCTCCCCGGCCGCTCCGGTGACCCCCAGCACCCCGCTCTTTATGCCGCCGGTAGAGATAACTCAGCAAAGCGATGCTGGCCGCTGCCTGTGACTAGAAAGGCTGACAGAAGCAAGGTACTTGTTAAGGAAACCTGTGCTGACACTTCACTGTCAGCGTGGAGTTGGAGCTAGCTGAGCAGGCGGGGATGACTCAGTGGAGATTATTTACTGCTGAGTATGGGAAGGGTAACGCTAAAGGAGTAAAGAGATGTGATATGTTTCTTGATTAGAATTTTGTCAAGGTTATAGCAACAAAAAATGCACAGCACAGAATGGTGACCATGGTAGAATGAAGAAAGGTCATTCGGGTTTAATGAACTGTGTAATACTGTTATAATTCTGTAGTACAATTCTGTAGAATTTGAGAGACAATAGGCTTTATTACAGCTATGTTAGAGTCTTCAGTATATTGGTTATTGTTCTGTACTATTTTGCAAACTTACCTTAGCAACACTCACAGCTGCCCAAAGACTGAAACAATGTCAATTTTACTAATGCGCTTGTATTTTGACTTCGGGGTAAACAGAATGCTAGTTTCTAGAAATTTCATTTACCTATATTTCCAATGCTTTCTGATGTTGCTTTTAAACCTATCTTTACAGAAGAGGTCCAAATTGCCATTCCAATAATGAAACCAACCTTAGATAAAGTCCAACTGGCTGGACAGGCCTTGCCTCCTGGATTTCCGGCGCCATTTCTTTTTGCTGATGGTCTTTCATCAGTAGAAACACTATTAACCAACATTCAGGTAAATTACTCTCTATAGGGCCAGGCTATGTCATGATAGATAAAATGTGTTTCTTTTTCAATCTCTTTAAAAAGTTTCAGAAACTATTTTGTATCTGCAACTCTAATTTCTTTTATTTAATGTGATGCTTAGGGTTCCACTATCTGGCATTATCCATCGCGAAAGGGTTTCATGCACTGTCTGTTTGTCCTAATAGTTGGCAATAACGGTCATATTAAAATTCGCCAGTCTCTTATTCCTCCTCTGCTTCTCCCTGCCGTTGGCCGAGGTCAGCAACAATACGGCACTCCTTTTGTAACAAACCACATCAGTAGGAAGAATTAGCACTGATTCCATGCCACAAAATTGCTCATATATAACATTTAGCTACTTCAAATGCCCAGTTTCATTCCAGGCCTATAGGTTCTTGCTTTTAATTTTTTTTGTTTTCCTAGAGGGTGTAAAAGAAACAAATGGAAGAATAGAATTTTGTCATTGCTGGAACGAAATGGTATTTTCAGATCTTACATTTGTGTGTGTTTTAGGGCCTACTGAAGGTGGCTGTGGACAATGCGAGAGTCCAGGAAAAGCAGATACAGCAGGAAAAAAAAGAGTTAAAGATGGAGCTTTGCAGAGAGAGAGAACTAAGAGAGAGCTTGGAAAGGCAACTCACAGCTGAGCTGCAAAGCAGAGGTGAGTGAATGAAAAATGGAGTTTAGATATCTATTAAATGCATAACCCTTTGGCATTTCCAGCTGGAGCTGTTGAGGACTCGGAGTTAACTGACATTCATACTTCAGTGTAATGCAGCAGTGGACTAGCGCTGGTAATGAAAGATTTAAATTTAATAAAAACAGAATGAAGCACACTTTTCTGTAAGCAGACAGAACAGTGACTGAAGGATTATTTCCTGGAGGGCAACTGGCTGCGGAGAGTTTTGGCTGGTTCTGTGGAGGAAAGTTGATTTGGTTTCATGGCTTTCACGTGGATTATTACCACTCCGTCTGCGTATTCCCGGCCTGATTTCTCCATCTGACAGCTTTAATGTCTTTTGTTTTCTGCTACTATCCTCCAAGCACTGAGGGTCAGTCTTACTGCGAGAAGGACGGTACGTCTGTAATTTGGGTATTTGGCGATTTTTTCTGGTTAGCTTACTCCTTATCTGGCCCACATTTCCGTAGTTTACGTGCTAGTCAGCGAGTTCTTCTTGCAGGTAACTTCAGCGTAACAAAATAGACAGCACTACGAGAAGTTGTCTACCCAAGTGCAAGACCTGAAGCAAATAACCCTGGATAATTTTTTTTCCATCAGGAGAGTGAGATACCAGAGCACTCCCCATATGGGGTCTTCTAAGACAAAACCATGGCTGTTCGGAAGGTTTTGATAATAATAGGCAATTAAATTGGTAAATCTGAATTTTTCGCTGTGATATTGCAGAGAAGCCAGTATTCTTGTTAAAATTCAAATCTGCATCTAAAGGAGAGGAATAGTACCTTATGTGCCAAAAGCTACTTCTAGATTACATCCATGAAATCAGAAAGATAAAACTAGATAACGCCAAAAATGTAGGTGCCGTGTAGTACCTTCCTGTGCGTTCTGAGTTGAAATTGGGTGTGTAGAACAGTGTCTGCAGTGCCAGGCCTTGGTAAGGGCCAACAAATTTGCGTTGTGAAGGGTCAGTAAATACTACTGAAGTTGTTAAATTGCAGTGGGTGTTCAGGAATGTCGCATCACCCCCGTCTTAAGTGTGGATGAGACTGCTGTATTTCTGCAAAACCACACTTGTCCCCGTGTAGGCAGAGAGCAGACTCTGCACCTCCTGAGTCCCATTTAAGTCAACAAGAACCTTAAGCCATTCACAGACTTTGTTGACTTCTGGCTGAAAAAAGAATTTCACCAATAATCAATACCCTCAGAATTGTCTTTCAGGTCATCGCTACATGAATATCTCGTTACAGAAAGTCAGAGATAGGGTTTTTCACATGGGTTGCTATATTTTCCAAAGTTATGTTCTACAGATCACATTTTGACTTTCATAATTCATCCCGTGTCTCAGAGATTTCCCATATAATGATGCTTTTTTTTTTTCTTCTCCCCTGACTGGTGTATTCACATCTTTTCATTCAGATCTGTAACAGCCAATAAGAATTCAGGTGGACAAGTTATGTAAACACAACAAGTTGGCTAAATACTGTGGATTTTCCCAGAATTTTTCCAAAATTTTTAGTAAATTTTCTATCAGTATTTTGTGATTTGAAATTCCCAAGTATCTACTAGGCAGGAGAAGCAAGTAAAAGGGATTGCAAAATACTGCTTGTATAAATCCAACTCTCATTTTAACAGTACTTGTGAGCAGTATTTGCCAGAGTGTACACACCGGTTAAACTTGACTCTAAAACAGATGGTAATTTTAAAAGGGCATTTATGTTTAATCTCAAATTCTCTTTAGTCTGTTAGTTTTACTTACCTTTTCTAGTGCCATTGTTTCCTCATTTATTTGATTCAGTAATGAATCCATGGGATTAAGTACTGCTCTGTGGAATTGGGCAGCACGCGTGAACTGAAGCAGCGGCAGCACAATGCAAAACCATTCCTGCATCCTCCGCGCAAGCTGCGATGGGCTGCAGAAGTGGAGCGCTTTCCGTGAGCTGGGATATGCTATGGGAGTGGCGTTTGACCCCTTCCTGAGCTTGCTAACAATGCTCCCCTGCTAGTTCTGGGAAAGGACGAGGGCATGTGCCTCGGGTCCAACCCGTCTTCCTCCTGCCACTCAGATGTGCCGGCTGATGGCAGATTTCCTGGAACTGCAGCTGCGCCCAGGAGGAGAGCATATTTGGGCTGCAGGGTTTGCTCAGCAGCGTGGTGGTGGGACTGGAGAGATCCTACCGGGCAGTTTAAACCGGGGCAGGGAGGTGCAGGTCAAAAAAGAAGAGACGCAAGAGAGTGTTCTTGCAGCACGGGTGCAAAGAGAGCCCACTGAAGAGTGTTCAGCAAGGATAGTAAGTGCCTTGAGATCTAACGCAGAGCTGTACAACAGCACTGTATTACTGCGTTACTACCTGTTGTAAGTCCAACCAGCCAGCTACTAAAGTGTTTTGTAGAGTGCTTCAGTTAGAGGGAGAAATTGCTAATGAAGAGAATAGACTCGATTTACGTACCAGTCTACGAGGTTGTTTTCAACCTCCTTTCTACCCGGGAAGTTCCCTTTTAACTTCTCTCTGAGATTCTCAACATACATCCAATGTTGTTTTGTGTCTCTCCTTTCTTTGGCTTTCCCTCTTCTTTTCTCCAGGAGTGTGAAAGTACTGGTGTTACTCAGGACATACCCCTTCTCTGTGCATTTGATCTTTGAGTATGTGCCCACCTCACCCAGCAGCTCAGTAGCCTTACACCTGGCTTCTGTCTTGGGTGCTGCTTCTGGTTATTTCAGTTGCTCTGCTTCAAAATTCACCCAACTGCTGCTCCATTTTTACCAGAAAGATTACCACCTAATTCCATGAGGTTTCACTCTGTACACCGTTGCTACCAAACAGCTGGAGGAGGGGAGTGCAATGTAATTCTCAACATTTAGGGAAAAGGCTGGAATGAAGGGTGAGAGGTTTTTTTTCATTTTGAGGATGTATGTTGCCGCAGTTGCAAGAAATTAAGGTCAATGGCCTGCTCAACCAAACTCTGCAGAACTGTAGCTGGAATTTAGGCCAAATTGGTGCAGTCTGCGCAACGTCAACCACCAGACGGGCACCGAGACTCCGACGTTCTGGTCAGGAGACGTAAATCCGTGGGGGTGTCCCAGAATGAGAATAAGATTTAAGGCCTTTAGCAAGATCTAATGGCTTCTTTTTGGTTTTGTATCAGATTTATGCCAGGTCATTTTTTTTCTCGAGCTAGAACCGGGCCCTTGGACATTGAACATAAACTCAGTTACTCTCTCCATTACACATTAATCGTGCTTTAACAGCCATTCTTGCAATATATTTACATTTCAGCAACAATTCAGAAACGCTTGAAGAAAGAAAAGAAGGCAAAGAGAAAATTGCAGGAAGCTTTGGAATTTGAATCCAAGAGAAGAGAACAAGTGGAACAGGCGCTTAAACAAGCCACATCAGGTGACGGTCTCAGGATGTTAAATGGTAATGTCTTAGTTGGCCTTTCCCAGTTAGCTTAAAGTGATGTTTAATTGAGTGAACACAAGTAAGGTGATGCACAGAGCAAATTCCAGAATAAAAATCCACAATCCTTTCCTGAAATCATTAAAAGCCTATTTCAGGCCAAGTGCTCTGTGTCTTGAATTAGAAAAATAAGTCAGTCTGCAACTAGAGAAACAGAGCAGTTTACAGAGACATGACAGGAAATGCTGAATATATTACCAGAGGAGTCTGTTACAGTGCCAGCTAAGACAAGGTGAAATTTGGTTCCTGTAAGGTTCTCTGAACTCTTCTCTCCCAGCAGATTCATTTTAGAACTGATGAGCTTCATTTTAAAAGCCGTTTGACTGAAGTTTGCGCAGCCTCAGGACCTATTAAGTTTGTTAAATATGTATCAGCTTTCAGAGCTGACTAGGTTTTGAATACTTCCCAAATATTCTTGTGAAACAAAAGTGAATCAGTTCATCTCCTAAACAGAGTGACTATGTTTTGGGTGGTGGGAGGATTTGCCTCTCCTACTTAATGTGGTTCTGGCCAGCGTTGAGAGCTTTAGTTTGAATCTTTAAGACTGAACCTAGTTGAGGTTTAATTAATTTCAGGTCCTGTAGCTCAGGTTTATTGCTCAGTCCCTACCCTGAAGCCTCTGCAGAGGCTTATGAATCAGTTACATTCAGTCGCTGCTGCGTTTGTATGTCGTGTACGCTTTACGTTAACTTCGTGCTGCCTACTTTGGGCAGCTGAGCCATAATAACCTAAGCAGGCTGCAAAAACTGCCTAAACTGCTGAATAAAAAGAATGAGTTTAGCTTGTCTTGAGTTCTCAGTCGTGAGGGCTACCCAAACTGTTTTTTAAAGTCAGGGCAAGCCTGTCGATGTGAACTGCCATCGCAACGCTCTGCAGTGGGCTGCGAGCTGTGATTTATCTAGGGCACCTAAGAGATATAAACACTTTAAGTATGAGAGCAACATCTTTCAGAGGCATTCTCATCTGCTGGGTTTTATCGTCCAGCATATCACTGTAACCAAGACCTGGCTGGCTTTTCTGATGTGCTGACAGCCAGCGGCGGTGATTCGGGTGTGGATATACAGCTTGCAGTTTCACCATGATAAGGGACGGTGACCCAGGGGAGGGTGGGTGGACAGAGCCAGCAGAAACCTTGTCCACCACCTTCACTGGATCAGAAAAATGCCCAGATCCGATCCCACAGACATAGTCAGCACCTGAGATGAACGTCAAAAAAACCTAAATTCCTGATGTTCTGTAAGGTCATTCACCCAGATTCTGCCATTGCTGGTAAGCACCTGCCGCTCGCACTTCGTTAGAGGAGTACTCCACAGTTCTGGAAGCCACAAATTAAAGGGTACCAACATGCCAGCAATGTGATTAACAGATCTTTACATCTGCTCCCGTGGGCCTGGCTGCTAACGCTTTGATTTGCAGGCACACTCAGGTAGTCATATATATGTTAGTGCCTGCAAAAAGCTGATATTTACATGCTAATCTGATTGCACATGCAAATCAGGTAGCTCATTAGCATCTTAATCCACAATTTAATTGCAGGTACAATTTTATGACAACAAAATGTGAAGAGCTATTCTGAATATTTTTAATTTAACTCTGACGGTCTGTCTCATTTAGCAGATGCTGATATTAGCTATGGATGACTTTGTCATTTTACATATATCCAACATGTACTCAGAAAGGTTTGAAAAAAAAAAAGCTGGTTTAGGTTAATAGATCCGTGCCCTGAACTTTACTTCAAAACAGGGATCTGGGTAAGGGAAACCCTATGTAATAGCAGTCACTTGTCATTTTACAAGAAAAAATTGTATACATGAAAATACGATTTGCTCATACATATTTATAGGGCTGTATATGCATACATCACATCTGTTACTAAGCTATTACTGTTTGGTGTGAGGGCTGTACTTCAGTGGGTTGCCCTGCCATAGAGTTAGGTTGGGCTGTAGGCTGACCATCGGAAGGCCAGCTGACACTCCAGCTAAAAAGTGATCTGAGAAAGCAACAGTACAGTTTAGAGACAGTTGTTACAGTTGTTAGAGAAAGTCCAGGACAGGCTTCTACACAGCAAAACTTCAGAACACCTTTCAGGTGTGGGATTTCTCCTGCTGTCATCTTTAAGTGCTGTATTATAAGAGAAGCAGATGTTTCTCCAGGATTCGAGGTGCCGTGGATTCAAATCACATACCCTTCATGCTAATCCTTGTTGGCACAAGGTGGATAATGGCATCTGTTATCGTGACACCCTGGAGTGTTTGAGCCCTGCCCCCACCTCGGAGGACTGTGCATGCAGAGGTATTACCAGTATGAAATTAAATAGCTCAAAAGGGCATGTCACCATGAGACTCTTGCTCAACTTGGGAAAAAAGAGCACAATCCATTTTGGAAAGCTCTTCTCAGAAAGGCTTTGTGTAACACCACATACGTAATCCTGGTGATAATGCACGCTTACCACATCCTGAGCTGAGTCTTTTAAATGCAGTTTGCACGGTCTTTATTTGTGACAGGCACTTTCACAGACTCACACGCGTACACACACGCATTGACTGGCATCGGCTGTCTTCTTGCAGGTGTGTGGCAGGGAGAGTCAACCCAGTTTCATATTATCATCACAGTTTAATTTTGACTTTTATTTTTCATCTGCCAGATGCCCTCACTCTCCAAGAGAATTTTACAGACATATTACTATCATGTGTTGGTTATTATCTGATTGTCAGACAAATGTGAAGCACATTAAAAATAATTCACTGTGAGACCAGTAATGTTTGCACATTTTGGAAACAATTTACTACCGAAAATTCTATGAAGACCAAATGTTTTATGCAAGAGTGTGTAACTTGGAGATCGCCCTAGTTTGCTATAAATATTTGTCTAAAGATGCATGAGAGAAGGACAAAGGGGAATGCACTAATCTTTGGTGTCACATCTTTCAGATGCTGGAATCCCAGATATGGAAATAGAACACAACGGAACCCAACATGACAGTGCGGCAATGCAAGGTGCAGTATGTACCACATCCCATCACAGACGTGTTGGTCACGAGCCATAGTAAAATTTACATGAGACACACAGTAACTTTTATCCCTGTTTTCCTGCTTTAAGATAAATGTAAATTGCACAATTTGGTTTTGTTTTCCCTTTCAACACAGAAAACCTTTGTAAGATCCCTACTTTACAAGACAAAAATTAGATTTCTTTAGAGCTGTGGGAAACTCCTATTTAGGTATCAGATATATGCGCTTAGTTCAAAAAAGATTTTGCATATGCTTTATCATTTCTAAATATTTTACCTCTGATCCTTACCTACCGATCAAGACCATAGGCGCTTTCAAAAAACCATAAAAACTCTGGGTGGAAAAGGAAAGTCACGTTCATGATATGGGCAGTTATGCAGTGCTCCGTTTCCTCAATGTCCATTGAGTGTCTGCAAATAGAGAACTCTCCTGTGTTGTCCACGTGCTTCCCAGAAAACAGCAGATGTGTTCTGGCTGTAGGGCTGTGAAGTAAGGGAGTTGTGCAATACACACAGAATCATGGAATGGTTTGGGTTGGAAGGGACCTTAAAGATCATCTAGTTCCAACCCCCCTGCCATGGGCAGGGACACCTTCCACTAGAGCAGGTTGCTCCAAGCCTCATCCCGCCTGGCCTTGGACACTTCCAGGGATGGGGCATCCACAACTTCTCTGGGCAACCTGTCCCAGTGCCTCCCCACCCTCTGTGGGAAGAATTTCTTCCTGATATCTAAACTAAACCTCCCCACTTTCAATTTAAACCCGTTACCCCTTGTCCTGTCACTACAGGCCCTTGTAAAAAGTCCCCCCCAGCTTCCTTGTAGCCCCTTCAGGCACGGGAAGGTGCTATAAGGTCTCCCCGGAGCCTTCTCTTCTCCAGGCTGAACACCCCCAACTCTCCAACCCTGTCCCCATAGGAAGGGTCTCCAGCCCTCTGATCATCTTCATGGCCTCCTCTGGACTTGCTCCAACTGGTCGATATCCTTCTGACGTTGGGCCCCACAGCTGGACGCAGCACTCCAGGTGGGGTCTCACCAGAGCAGAGCAGAGGGGGAGAATCCCCTCCCTCGACCTGCTGGCCACGCTGCTCTGGATACAGCCCAGGATACAGTTGGCTTTCTGGGCTGCCAGCGCACACGGCCGGCTCATGTCCAGCTTTTCATCCCCCAGTACCCCCAAGTCCTTCTCCTCAGGGCTGCTCTCGATCCACTCTCTGCCCAGCCTGTCCTTGTGCTGGGATTGCCCAAGCACACGTTTAGGGGAGCTGAGGTACGGGTAAGGGTTATTTCCAGTACCATTAGGCACTGGATTGGGCACGCCGAGAATCCATAGTCAGCTGGGATAAAGTTTGGTCTGAGCAATTTGAATGAAGAAATTCTCTGACTTTGGAGAAAGTCCAGTTTTGTGTTGTTGGTTTTCTACAAAACCTACGTTTTTCTCCCTTCAGTCCTGTGCCGTATTCGTTACACGCCGTTCCGTTCTGCGCTGGCTACCGCGGCAGCCTGGAATTGCCTCTTCCAATACCACGGCTGCTTCTTCGAGCCTTTCCAACCTCCTACTGAATCGTGCAGTGCTGTGTGCAAAAAATAACGTGTGTTGGAGTAACTAAAGACAGTCCCCTTCTGTGCAGACAGGAGAAGGACTGCAGTACCGTTATAGATGCAAACACAACCTGTAGCATGTCTCAACTGTTAAAGGCTTGACTTCGCATACCTCTGGTGCGCATCTGTCGTCCATCTGTCATCCGCACATGAAAGCTTTCAAATATTTTTACTGCTGTCTCCTTTTGTGATTTTAGGTTGGTGTGCTATGGATGGCAAAGAAGGAGAATCACAGCTTTGCTGTAATGCATATATACACATAGAGCATATGTGTGTAGATGTATGTGTATGCGTCTGGTTAGAGTTGTGCTTTAACTACTGCCATTTGAAAACCGTTACTGCCAGGAATCGTCAAAGCACTTGGGACACATGTATTTAAATTTGGCAAGAACATATTCCTGATCTACTTATGATCCCTGTTGAGATGAGTGCTCAGCGCTCTTCCAGAAAGGTTCTCAGAGTCAGAGGTGCACCTGGACAGAATCTGGTAAAAGAAAGGAAGTCCAGTTCAATTTTCAGTTGAAGGGAAAAAAGTTACAGTTTGCTCAGATGTGTCTTCCCATCAAAAATTATTATAACTAACTGTGGGGCTTAGCCATTTCCAACAACCATTTACTTACTGGGAGGAATTAACAGAGTTTTCTTACATTTCCTGTAGTCTATTGATACACAAGAAAAACTTGTGATTTTATGATTTTTATTTTGGGGTGAGGGAGTTGGTTTTCTTTTTTAGTCTGATCCACCTACATCATTCATAGAATCATGGAATGGTTTGGGTTGGAAGGGACCTTACAGACCATCCAGTTCCAACCCCCCTGCCATGGGCAGGGACACCTTCCACTAGACCAGGTTGCTCCAAGCCTCATCCAGCCTGGCCTTGGACATTTCCAGGGATGGGGCATCCACAGCTTCTCTGGGCAACCTGTCCCACCAACCACCCTCTGTGGGAAGAACTTCTTCCTGATATCCAATCTAATCCTCCCCACTTTCAATTTAAACCTGTTAGCCCTTGTCCTGTCCCTACAGGCCCTTGTAAAAAGACCCCCCCAGCTTCCTTGTAGCCCCTTCAGGTACTGGAAGGGGCTATAAGGTCTCCCCGGCGCCTTCTCTTCTCCAGGCTGAACAAGCCCCACTCTCTCAGCCTGCCCCCATAGCAGAGGTTCTCCCGCCCTCTGATCCATCTCCGTGGCCTCCTCTGGACTCGCTCCAACCAGTCGATATCCTTCTGATGTTGTGGGTTCCACAGCTGGACGCAGTGGGACATAAAGTACTGTTTCAGATTAAAAACCTGAACAAAGGTAGGACTGGATATCCACCATACTTGGTATCTCTCAGCCCGGTGCCCCTCTGGGTGAGCAGAACGTGGCTCGTGCGGTAGGAGTTGTAATCCCGTCCCACACTCCTCAGTGGCATCTCGTCTTCACCACTGCAGTGACTGACAGCTGCGCTGACTCCTGTGGCAGTTGTGGTGTAGAAATCCTGGTCGTATGTAAACATGTGATGAGTTTAGCTGGCTTTTCACTAAGCACTCTCGACTGGTAAAAAGGTTTCTGAAGAGCTCTCTGTAGAGCTTGTTTGGATTTCAGAGTGCTGCTGTCCTGGAGCACCATCCCTTTCATTTGTATTTATGCTGATACTGTAATATCTTTGTATTCTCTTTTCCTTTGATTACAATTTTTGTACTTGACAGCTACTATTGCACCGCCGTCTTTAACAATTTGAGCACACTCCCTCATTGCCCCCTTCATTTGCTGCCTTTGGTTTTTGGGCCCTGGGAGGAGGAAGGGTCAAAACACATGTCCCTAACACAAAGCTGTTTCTAAGCTTCCAAAATCTCTCCCTATTGCAGAGAAAAAGCTTTAGCATCAATGCAGACCTTTCTTTTGCTGGTGTCAATAGCTCTGCTGGACAGAAATCTATCATTCACACAGTGCCTTTCCTTTGAAATTCAATTAGTTTCACTGCCAGTGTCTCCTTAAGACGGTTTAAAGGAATATCACAAAAATACTGCACAGCCACCTTTCACAGTGATTAAGTTGCATCATATTTTATGCTCATTTCTTAAAATTACTTTATTAACACAAGCTGTTCATACACTGGGATTCTGAGCTGCATTATAAATCTTTTCCGTTTAGTTGACTCATTTTCTCTATGCTTTATATATTAATGGAAGGGAAATTTTGTGCCGACAAAACTTCTTTGAACTTTATAGTCTCATACCTCAATCCTGGCTATACCTGATCTTCCAGCCCAGCATAGCTTGGTCCGAGAGAAGCTTTTGAGCTGACAGAATAGAAAACAGTCGCTGTCGTCACGACGCCCCGTGCGTAGTTGAGCGGCGCAGGAGAGGGTGATGCACGCGCACAGACACCCTCTGGTCTTGCTTCCATAACTCACTTGTGGGCCAGCGAGATAGTGCATCAACCGTTTTATCAGCCAATCTCCATTTCACATAAAATAAACATACTGGGTGTCATTAAGTGCACCTTCAGATCAATGATTTTTGCAAATGACATTCAAGTACCATTCGAGTAGTGCATTTTTGCTGATAAAAGCAAATTAAATTAGCACAACTACAAGTGTGCTGATAAAAACTAAAACTGAACAGCAGCACCATTAGCTAACAAAGTAATATTTTCTCTTTACTGCTTTCTGCCATTTAGTTATTATCCTATTGGAAATCTAATTATAATCCTTTTACTCCCTAGTCAAACTTCACAGTTTTTGCAAGCTTAGCACTGACAAGTGATTTCATTACATTTGATTGCCCGCGCCCAGATTGACTTAACTTCACTCCGAGACCTAAAAGCCCTCTCAGTTTCTCAGATTCCCTGTTTGCACATTACAGCAACAGCTCCTTTAATTAATTAGCATGAACAGCAGTAACATGAATTGCTGAACAGAAAATAACATCATTTTATGATCGCAGGGAGACTTCTCCTTTTGCATGTTTATACCTTAGTTAACTTTTGTATTACTATATTTCATTGTTAGGGGATATTGGAACAATCAGCAAAGCAATGTTATCTTAAAATTTTAAAAAATAGATGTTACCATAATACTTGATGATAACAATTTACAGAAAATAAAATGCTCTAAATTTCAGGAAGGAGGCAGCAGCACAGGCCAACAGAGTTTCCTGAGGTGAAAACGTGGTGCAAGGAAACGTGGTTCACGGCACCTGCAACAAGAGGGTGACCCAGGGCAGCTGCTGCTGCTTCTCTTTGTGAAATAGCCTGGCAGAGATTTAGCACAAAACCTCTCCGTATCCATGAATAACTTTATCAGTTTGCCAAAGATGAAGAAGCATTGAAGTTTGGAAGATAGTTTGGGTTTTATTATTTAGAAAATTGGGCTATATTTTTTTCAATATTCTGATATAACCA